CTGGAAATCATGGTGCGCAGCATTTAATTTGAACCGACTTGTTCTGTGGACCCTGAAGTATGTTCTTCAGTTCTCATTTTGGCTGGAAACGGATCACAATACGATTTCTTGAGGCCAACTGTGTGTGAAATCCGACCGACGATTGGAACTTATCAAGTTTTCTACAATTACCCAAGTGTGACGATTAACCATACTAGTTTTAATGCAACCGATAAGATGTCAGAAGATACTCGGTTTCTTTCAAAGTACCTTGCCATGTTGACAAAGGCAATGGTTTCTAGCTCTCAAACTATGTGGGCAAATACCTTTAGCAATGATATCTATTCCGTGTATCATGATGCTGCTGCGGGGTTCGAGGAAGAGTTGGACACAATTCTTGTACGTTTCTTGTCAAAAAATAATGGTTGATGTTGATAAGATCTGTTCGATGGGGTTCTTTTTTGGGAATGCTGATTTCTTTCCCTCACCTCAATCAGGACCATTACTTCAACGGTGTGATAGAATTTGGAACAACAGTGAGTTATATTCTAACCAAGATGGCCTGGTGGGACGTGTTCATAAAGGCTCTCAAGTCCAAGAACAACATATTGATTGCCGATTTACCTCAAAAGTTTTTTCGAGCCCACTTTTCTAGAGTCGGTAATACATCAGATCAAAACAACTTACCAAACAACATCTCACGCGACTTTGATGGTACTTTGAGAATCTCAACAATGGGATGGGATGCAGGATGGGATGCAAGACGCAGTCTTATCGCACCTACCTTTCTTTCAATGATTCCTATCATTCTGGTTTCATTTTTTTCGATCTGTGCTGTCTTCGTTGGATGTTATAAAAGGTTTATCTCATCTCCTCTTCATACAAATCAACCTGTTCAATTTGATCCAAATGATATGACACAGATCATTCGGGTTGCTTGTGCTGGTAATCTTTCTGAAAAGTTTTCTCAAATGTCTGTTGATCAAGTAGGAAAAAGTTGTACAGATAAAGATTATGATCAAGTTCATGTTCAGTTAAACTATGATGATGATGGTATTGGTAAATTGATATGGAAGGAACCTCAAACAGTTTGACCTCTTGATCGGAGATTTGATTTGTATAATTGAATCACATTCATAACCGTACAAATTGAGGATACTCTCACATAAAACTTATTTCTCTTCTCTTCTTTTCTTGCATCCAATCTTTTTCAATCAACTTTGTATAATTATTTTCTGTCTGTGCACAAACACTCCACGCAAATAAAATGACAATTGTAATTCTCGATATTCACTATGCAAGCCGCGCCCGAGCTTCTAATATATTCACTCCTACCTGATATGTACCAAAGTCATAGGGGAGACCGACTAATTATAAAAGTGCTGGGGTGGGTCTCAGGAGCAAGCTTTACCCTTCCAATGAACCATGTAC